GCTCGGGAAGCGGCGGAGCGCCCCCGGCCCCAGCGTCCCGGCGGCAAGCGCGGGCGCCCGCAGCCACGCGCTGCGCGTGTCGGCTTTCCGCAGTCTGCCCGGTGGGGAGAGGGCGCCACGGGCTGCACACGCCAAAGGCAAGTGCAGGGCACCCAGCACCTGGCAAGCAGAGTCACCCCAGCTTGCTTGAATCAGGCCCATAATAAGCAAGCAAGATCATGACATCTTCATAAAAGTAGGATTTAAGTACAAACATCTGCCCTGCTGTTTTTTAATTAAGACAGTTTATAGCGAGGTGTTTGTTTCAGTAATCCATGGCTCAAGCTGCAGAAATGCCATGCGTACTCTAATTACAGCAGCTATTTAACAGACTCTGACATTGTATGACATTTAGCTGAGTCACCTTGTTCCCCGGTAAAGCAACAAGGGCTTTTCAGCAGTTCAACAAGAAAGAGGCAGAGATTTGATATTAAAAGTAGACCGTATATCACAGATACTTTAAATTAAATACAGCTGAGGTCTACTCGCTTCTGGCAGCTCTTCTCTTTGGGACACTAAGTCAGACCAAATGTTTTCCAGATATAACTCTTCCCCTCAGGGACACCCAGCAGTACCATCTCCATCAAGTTCTTGGAGGGTGGGAAGAGTGAGAAGTGTTGTAATGGGCACGTGGGATGTACCTCATTCTCCACAAATATTACCCACCCATATGTCAGGATACACATCGCTGAGAACAGCAAACAGACGCTAAGCACTGGTAATCTAGACTCAGCCAATATTTTTCTAGGGTAAAGCAAAATAAATTGGCCAGTGGCTGTCAATATAGGAGGAACAACTGTTATCTGCAGACACAGATACAACATCTCAGCTAATGTTGCTGGTATTTCTGTATGCTGCTTTGATGGATCTCAAAGCACTTCATAGCGAGAGCGAGAGGGGCAGGCCAGCAGCTCCTACACTCATTGCATAGACATTTCACAAGCTGAGTCATCTACCAGTTTGCTGGTGGCATGGCTGGAAAGACAGGCCAAGTTTGGATACCTGTCCCCATTCCATTGGGACTGGAGGACAACACCACCTCCCCCTGGCAGCAGCTGGCCTGGACACAGCAAAACCCTGCGGAGAGCAAAACCCTGGGGTTCCTGGGGCTGCTTTCTCGACGCCTGTGGAGGCTACTGTGGCTCTGATCCTTGTGTCACGTATTTGAACTGCTGGTCTCCAGGTCCTCGCATGCCTGCTAGCCCCAGAGCTGTCCTCACCACACGTCTGGAGCAGCTGCTCTGCTACAAGCAGTGTCAGGGAGCACAGCATGTTCCTGGAGAGGACTAAGCCCTTCCATCCCAGCTTCCCTTTATAGAGCTTTGGGGAAGAGCTGGGATCTCCTTTTAACAGCTAAAAACAGAACAAACGCCTTAAGAGGCTGAAAATCCTCCGTTTGTGCTGACACTCAGCGCAGCGAGGCAAAGCCCACGCCAGGAGCAGGCCCGTGCAGGCAGACAGCGCAGAGCTCTGCACGCTGCGAGCTGGCTCGGCTCCTCCGTGCCAGCCCTGCAGGCGCTGCTGGAAGCAGCTGCACGCGAGCGTGTTCGGCTGCCCCGAGGGGAGGACATCTATCATGTGCAGCTCCTCTCACAAAGCTGTCACAGGGACAGTGCGAGGCCAAGGGGATATTTACTTATCTTTTTGGCCAGCTCTGCAGAAATCCCTGTTTGCATTTAAGCTTCCCTCAGTTTCCTTTGCAACTCAGTAACAACCCTGATTATTCATTCCTTATTACACAGCAAGTATTTGCAAGGCTGCTGTACCAGAAATGTTGAAGACAACAGCTCCCCTGGCCTCCAGAGGCCTCCCAGGCCAGGCTCAGGCCCTGCAGTTGCACCTCTTCAGGAGAGCCCCCTGGAGCCACTGAATCCATTTGTGCAGCAACCTGAGCCTAAACAGCTGATGCAAGATCCCCTGGGAGCCCTAAAGACGATGCCAGTTATTTTGTCATGTGGAGACCTGGTACTCCACGCCAGCACATGTGAGCTCCCTGGGAAAAGGGGTTCGTAAGGCCAGTCACAAACAGTACTAAAGTAGGTGGTTTTGGAAAGGCAACCCCCAACTATTCTGACCCCTCTAATATAGGGCTTTTGCCACGGTATTACCTGGTAGGAAAGGGATGATTCTTTGCTTGGGGTCTTTCTGGCCGCCTTCAATGGGGAACTTGTCCAGCAGCTGCATCTGCAAAGGAAACAGAACAAACCCCTTAGGTGGGAGACATGGACAGGCCGCTCAGGAACAGGGGATTTTTCGGTTTGCGTGTGTTTTGAAAAAGGATTAACAAAGTAAAGCAACTGCAGGAATCACTGTGCCTGGTAGCCTGGGGAGCCTGTACATAAAAAGGTACGACACAGTTCACTCCAAGAAAGGGAGGGCAAGTTCCTGGCAGCGCGCAGCGGTTGGGACGGGGCCCAAGCAGACATCTGAGCCTGGCCTTTCTGCCGTTCTAAAATTAGGCTCCCATCCTTCATTACACAACACACGCTTCGTCTCTAATCCACAGCTTGCCCAGGTTGGTGGAGAGACAGCTTTTACCTGCCCCTGTGACAGGCCACCCACCTGGCTAAATTGCTGCTGAAGCAGCCAGCTTTGAGGTTATTTAATGAAATAACCTATTTGTCTTCTTGCTGGCAAGGTAATGCCACTGCCCTGTTCCATTAAGAACACTTCTGCCTTTCCAGGGACAGACAAATGGGCTCTACGTGGAGGATGACAGCAGCGAAAGGGCAGCAGGGCTCTGGAAAATACCTAGGGCACACTGCAAAAGAACCCTGAGGTTCTTGCCACCATGATTTTCAGTAATCTCAGCTGAACATGAGCTCTGATGCACTAGAACCAGAGTTTCACCCACCTCAGCTAAGATCTTGCCCACCACATCCTAAACTACTGAGCTCTAGATTCTTTCTATACACCGTTTCCTTAGCCCATGTCTAACACAGCTGTGCTGAGGACCGGCTAAGATCCAAGCCCCACTGTACCACAGAGCCACAACCAGCCCCTTGCCTGAGGAACCCTGACTCCTGAGGAGCCGTGAGGCCGCGGGCAACGCGCGCGGCGGAGCAGACTGCTGGGCAGCGGGGCGTCTGGTGCAGCAGCCCAGGGCATGCTGATCCCGTGTTCCTCACGAGCCTCGGCAACCCCTGCCCAGCTCAGCAGCCTGGACCCCGCAGTGCAGGCCAAGGAGCCATGCACAAACGCACTCCGAAGGGAGGCAGCCTTGGCTCCAGTGGCACCTTCACGGGACAGCCCGGGAGCTCCATCTCCAGCTCTGAAAACCAGCAGAGCTGCTCACTCTCCTGTTCACTCCGGGCATCCTTTTGCTGCAGTTCAGCCCACAATGCTGCCAAGATAAATGCCCAAAGCTTCATATTCTCTTTTATTTTCTTCCACATTTACGGCACAAAATTAAATGCTCTATGTCTGCGCTGATCCTCCTGCCCCAGCAGCAGCCTCTGCTCCCTGTGGCCAGGGGATGACCTTGCTCGGAAAACAGAAAAGCTGCTTTTCCGGATCTCATCAAAGCCCCCAGTAGCTGAGTGCCCCATTTCCAACTGAGCAGCAGAGATGTTTTCCAGGCTGCTCTTCCCAGTCCCCGGGTTTACCTGCGAGAGGGCTGTCAGCAAAGCCAGCCGTGTCAACAGGCTCTCACTCACTCAACAGGGCTCTTCAGCTCCACTACAAAATAGCTCTGGGGCAGAACGGAGTTGAAAAGTGCTGCGGGAGCAGAGGAACAGGGCCCGTCTCCAGTGCCCCTGCTACTTGACCCTGCAGGACCCCCACCTCCTCACCTGAACTGGATCTACCGCTCCGTACAAATCCCTGAGCAGGCACCCAAAGCTGCCCTGGGGGGACTCTTCACTCAGCATTTAGTCTCAGAAATGCTTCGTGCCCAAAAGTGAAGGTGTGCGAGTTCACATTTTTGCTATCCTAACAAATTTCCCTCAAAAAATAGCTTTTTGGCTAACATGGGAAAAAGAGCAGTTAGGATTTCTTTACTTTTTTGCTGCTGTTGCTGTTGTTTTAAACACACAGAATCCTTCTCCTCTTCCGCCACGCAGAACATCTCCCGCATTTTAACCACATGGTGCAGCAAAGCAAAGATCAAGAGGAAACTCGGGAGTAGAATGAACATCTGTGCAGAAGAAAAAGTTAAAAGATCCCACATGTTTCCCCATCAGGGAGTCAGCCTGGTAAATAAATAGACCATAGCTTTGCGGATTGTTAGCTAACTCACTTTTCTGCCTACAGAGACATGTTTTTTATTGAAAATGTGAAATTTTGTTTTCTTGTAGGTAGAGCTCCGGGTGTCTGAGGTCAGGCATGGGCAGGAGTTTTGTTCAAAGCAAAAAGGAGGCAAAAAACCCACTGACTGACTTTAAGTTTCACTGTTGCTAGACTTTCAGCCAGGAAGGCGATTCTCACTTTACTGCACAGTGACTGACTCAAGCTGGAACCGATACAGTCAAATTCCCATGGTTATTCTTGGAGTTAGATTAGCTTGGCTAATACAAGCCTTTTTAACCACATCAAGAGAGTCACAACGTGTGTAACAGTGCTATTTATCTAAAGGGTGGATATCAGCAAAACAGATACAATAAACTACAGCTGGAAGGGTTTGGCTAAGCTTTCCTAGACTACACTTTCCACCCTGGCTCTTACTTCCGCTGGGAGAGTCTGGACGGCAGAGATGGAGGGGCAGAGGCGCTGGGAAGGCCACCAGGGCCACCCATGGCAGAGACACAGCGTGGCCCAAGTGGGAGGGCAGGTTGATGAATCTTCGTCAGTATGTGAGACAACCCCCGCAAGCATGATGTGACAGACAGGCAAAGCACAGATTTCTGAACTAAACTGAGGTTAAGGAGTGAAGTCGCTGCTTCTGCAAGAGGCCCTGCGAGGTTTAGTACCCACGGAGAAGTGGGGCAGCCCCTCTCCAACCCTCAGCCCCAGGTGCCACTTCCCGCAGGCTTGTGAGTGTGTGAGGTGGCTCTGACATTTGTGCTGACCCAGCCTCTGCTCCCAGGTGTTCTTCTTAACGCCTAAAAAAGCCCTTCAAGCACAACCACAGCTGACTGCATGCGTATTACTGGTACAGGGAACTGCAACGCAGCCTGGAAGCTACTGCGTGCCCCTGAGCTCTGCAGGGCAGGACAACCTTCACTCATGGACAAGGATGCAAAGAAGATGAGAGACAAATCCAGAGGCAAAAACAGCAATGAGCCTACACGAAATATCCGAAACCTCCCAGAGCGATGGGTATCCTGAGCCAGTTCCTAGTGCCCCAGCTCAGCCCATCTCTAATGGTAAGAGAGCAGCAATGGAGCAACTGGAATGGCTAAGGGCTGAAACACTCACACCAGACACCCCTCCAAGCAGTCAGCATGTCCTCTCATGGGTGGTTATGAGGCCAATAGACAGATTTCCAATTTGTTTCACTGAATGTCTGCAGAACACCAGAAAGTTGGAAACTCTTTGGTATGTGGAAAGTGTTTCACCATAAAAACAGATTTACTCTTGCTGAAAATTTATATAGGATTGATCAAAAAAATCTTCACTTGATGTACCAGGGTGAACTCCTCAGATATGGACAATTTGAGAACTGTTGCCTTTATTGTTGACATACAATATTTCATTTACAGAGAGGGTCCTCTGTATGAGAAAGTAACCCAGTTGAGTGCAGTAAAACCACCCCAGCACGAAGGGCTGTCTGGAGGTGAAGGGGTCTCAGAGGTTGCAGCTGGGGCTGTGGCCGGCTTTGGGCAGACGAGAAAACCCAAGTGTGGCGAGCTCACGTCCACTTCTGTTTCCAAGCACTAGTACATGAACTTGAGAGCAGGAATCCCACTGCAGAGGCACCTCCAATTGCATGACCAGTGTGATGAGCGTCAAGAAATCTGTTCTCATGTCACTGGGTCACAGGGTGGGGGATCCGTTTGGAAACTGGGAGTGTGTATGGAAAAGGGGAAATGAGCTTCCCACCCATTCAGGCAACGTGTCTGGAGTCAGGCTGAACAAACACACCCCGTTCCTGCTGCTGGCACAACAGATGTGTGTCCACAAACAATTTGTCACCAAAACCACCTCGCCAGCTTCACCTCCCCAAACTACTCTGGGTTTGACAGCACCTTTCCTGTCTAAGTCCTGCATGGAGTCCTGCCTCACGCTGTAAGCAGATCTGCTTAGCTGACCTGCTACAAACCCCGTGGTCCAGGCTATGACTTTCTTACTCGCAGGGGTCAGCACAAGCCCAGGCTATTGCTCCCACTAAAAATCAGGGGAATTGCTCACTTGAGTGGTTGTTGCTCACTGCAAAGAGAGCAGGCTCAAAGCACCATCCCCATCTGCTCCTTACCGCTCTCACAGAGCCGTGAAGCCGTGAGGCTTGGCCTGCAGGAACGGCATAGGAACACAATTTCAGTGGCAGCGGCTCTCATGACAGTTGGCCTTTTAGTTGAAGCCCCAGTTCCTCGAGGTGACTGTATGAGAAGCAGCTTTCACTGTAGAAACCAGTCAAACAAAACCTCTAGCTGTCATTTTGCAAAGCACAAGCTTGCAAACATGACCCAAATTCATCCTTAGAGGTCCAGAGCCTGGAATACAAGTTACAGCATCCACCTGCTTTTGATGTCAATGCAGGGAGCCCCAGGAAGTTGCTAGAGGTTTTTGGATGCCTCAGGAAGGAGAAAGCTGAAACTGCCTGACTGTGCAGATAAGTAACAAAACTGCTGCTGCAGCTACAGGGTTTTCACACCAAAGCAATCCCACCCCCACAGGCCTCTGAGCAAGGATGGGTTGAGCAAAAAGCTGCTCGTACTAAAAATCTTCAGCTGATGTTATCCTAGCTTGAGAGCGTAGGTAAGTTGTAGGGGAAATGCAAGAGGTTCAGCCAATGTCTTCACCTACAGCTAAATCATTCCTTCCTTCTCACCTCCTCTCCTTCAGGTCTCCTTTATCTATGAATGCGAATGTGCAGTGAAAAAGGAGAGTCTCCTGCAAACAAGGAGCATTTTGGCTCATGCCAGTTGATAGGCTCCGCAATTACCTCTGTTCTGCAGGGAAAATCAGGCCCAGGCCTCTGTCTGCCTAGCGATGCTACCATCTAATTGAAAACTACCAAAGAAAACCAAGTGTCCATCAAGATGCTGCAAGTAATATCTCAGAGGATGAGAAGACAAGCATCTTTC